ATTGGGTCCCATGGACTTGTGCACCATCTGTTTTGGAAACTTACTTTACCAGATAGCATTCTCTTAGCTGCTAGCGTTTATCTCCATGTTCATGTACAGGAGAATGTAGTGCTACCTCCAGTCTTTTGTTTCTACCTGGGTTATTCTGTCCAGCTCCTACTTTGCTGCTGCTGTGTAGCAGTTAGCAGACCATCAGGTGATGCTGGTTGGCATACAGATACATAATTAGGATAATTTTGAATGTCTTCCATGAATCAGTAATGGGCATCTTCGTTACGTGCTTGCACATCTACTGAGGTCTGCTTGTGTTTTAACTTGCACCCAACTTGTCTGGTAGGTCCTGTACATCATTCGCTCACATTAGTTCTGCAGGGTCAGACTGCAGAGGAAAAATGATAGTGCTATGTGGTTATGCAGTCAGTGTCATCATTTCAGTGAACTTGGATGGAAAGCTTGCCACACGGCCAGCCCCCGCTGAGCAATAATGACAATGCCAGCTGGAACCTTGGCGTGAGTGTTGGAGAACTGTCTTTTTGTAACTGAATTACCCAGTGTGTCATCAGCCAAGCTTTCCCTCAAGTTTAACTCATAAGAGGGGGGGAAAAGGGTGAATAATTTAACTCTACTATGTGCTAAACCACATAGATTTTATGTAATGCCTGTCTGCAAGATACAAATAACACTGTTTTGTTACTGAAGAGCGTGGAAGGATTGGCCATTTATTGCTTCCCATCCTAGATTTGCATTTGTTAATGTTTTGTTTCTGTTGCTCATGTAATGTTTCTTCTAGTTTTCTCTGCAGTAAATGTTAGCTCTTCATAGCATTTCTTCATTCATCCGAATCCTGAAGCATAATATATGCCTCCTTTAGATAACAAGAGAAGTTCGCTATAAAATTTGTACTTTATTGTGAAATGTTGATGCTAATTACATACTAATTCTAAAATATTTATTTCTCCTTCACTTTGTTGCATATATTTTGGTGCACCATTAGGCTTTAGTGTTGGCTTTTTTCTGCTAAATTTCACATTTTTTTAATTGAGCTGTGATTAAAATGGTCTAAAGGATTATAGAAGTTTCAAAGACAACTTTTTGATAGAAATGCAAAAATTCATTTTTAATTTGGCCATTTTTCTTAACTGGTGAGGCACCTTTGAAAATCCCAGACAGGGTTTATAAATTCGTATTCTTCTAGTGAGCTCTTGTCAGAGAGGAGCATGGCAGTAGTTTGTTGCACAGTCTGTTTGGCACGGGGACGAGCATTAATGGTTTGATGGGTACACGAGGATGCAGCTGTTGTAGAGGCAGTGCGTGGTTGAGTAGTCCTGTTTTGTAGTCTCACATGAACGCTTCTCAGCACTTGTAGGTGTCAAGGGTGTCTCTTCTGATAAGGGAGATTGCAGTACCTGGATAAAGCGCTTTTTTTTGGTCAGCTTGAGGCTCATAAGATGTATTTATGATGTTCTTTCCTGAGGTATGAATCTGCCGGAGAGTGGCTGAATACCCTCAACTGAGACACTGCCTTTTCTTTTGGTTTAGATCTTTGTCATTTGAAAAGTCAACCAAAAAACCCACTCTGAGTTGTCCTGCTGAGTTTCCCATTTTTCCTTTCTCTCTGTGCAGCTGCTGCTCGTTACGAAGAGGGCGAATCTGAAGCCGAGAGCATTACTTCCTTCATGGACACTTCTAATCCTCTTTATCAGCTTTATGACACAGTTAGAAGTTGCCGAAATAATCAGGGTCAGCTCATATCTGAACCCTTTTTCCACTTGCCCTCCAAGAAAAAGTATCCTGATTATTATCAGCAAATTAAAGCACCTATTTCACTGCAGCAGATCAGGTAAGAAAACAGAATGCAAACTACATCTGGTGGGAAACTATTCAAAGGCTTTTTGTTCAGAGATGAAAGCTTCTGCAGAACCCCCCATTATTCTTTTTTCATTGACCCTGATGGCTGGAGTTACCTGTTACTGACATGTTTTTTAAATTAATAGTCTGCAGCAATGTGAGTTGTAGAAAGATAGTTGGAATGTCATTCCTTTTGTCTGGGTCACCGTGTAACTGTAGATAATGATTCATGATGTAGCTAGTCCGGACTGAAGTACCGAAGCTGTACACCATTTATAAATCTGTGAAAGGTTCACCAACTGGCAGACTGCAGCTGTTGGGTTAAAAACCTGAGTAAGAAAAGCAAGCAATAGCTTTCTTCAGCAGTCCAAGATGAGCTAATATGATGGATATATGTCAGGGTCCTGAGTGCACCGATAGACCTCAGTGGCACTGAGCAGTCTGGGTGGCCCTGGCCTCCTGTCCAGTGGCCCCGTGGGCTCCAGTCCCTGCCTGAGCCACTCTGCAGGACTGTTGCTCCTCCAGCTTCATTGAGTGAGGGCTGGCCACAGCACTGTTCATGTGTGTTTGATCCACGCCAATACACAGGCCTGTAAGTGTTAGTGAACAGAATAATGTCTGCTAGACTTAGTATAACTGTTGAATAAGCAGTGTCTTTCTTAAGTAACAAAGCTGATTATTTTTCACCCTATCAGAGTGTGTTTTGCATGTGCTGAGGAACAAGTATGGGGCTGCCACACTGGTTATTGATTCATCAGTGGCTTTAAAGCGTTTTTTTCTTATGTCTTAGTACAGCTGTTAGCTTGGCAAAGAAAGTGTCTTGTACTGAACGAAGCACAAAATGTACTTGATGGAAAAAAAAGAAGGGTGAAATTGAGAAAAATCGTTGACGGTTGTCAGGGAGCTTTTTGTCTGAATGTATCAAAGGGTATAGGCTCAAATTATGTAGAAACAGATTTAATTGGGAGAGGCCGTCCATTAAAAGTATGCTTTATATCAGTTAAAAGGCAAATAATTTGCCACAGAGCGGCAGCTCCGTTTCTACTTTCCTTCCAGTGTGGGCAGGTTGCGTCTGGCTGTCTGAGCAGGACAGAGATTGCATGCAAATGTATGAAGAACTGTAGAGAAAAAATCGCATATCTTACTACCTGAGAGCTTAAAAAATAAAAAGAGACATACGGTCTTTTTAGAAATAGTGTTTGTAGCTCATAAGTTAAAATACAGTGTTTATAATGGTCCGACTTGTTTTAGCAAATTCTGAAATACAGCTGTTCTTTAAATTACCACATAACCTCCACTTCTTCCTATACCTAAAAAGTCTTGAAGTCGTGGATATGTGTACTTAATTCATGTGCTTTAGGGAAAACCAAAGCTAGCATGGTTTTACTGATAGTGCAGATATGTCTTTAGGTATTCAAAACTGCCACTCATTATGCGGGTGGAGGGTTTTTGTGGGTGGTTGTTTTTTGGAGGTAGTGGGGGTTTTGGGGTTTTTTTTGGTATTTTTTTGTATATTTGATGGAAGTTGTACAGTTTTAAAATTTACCTTAGCGAGTACTTTCAGTGCATATCATATGTATGGCCTTTATAAAATCACAGGCTCAATAAAAAGGGTTCTGAGTGTACTTTATTAAAAGATTGTTTCATTCCTCAGTAGGGCATTTGTCAAGTGCCTTTATTGCATGCATTCTTTGTTAGTGTTTTTCCCCAGAGAAGCTGGACTAGCCTCTGGTCTTCAAAATTTCAAAACAAAAGGAAAGAAGTTACATGATAACTGTTCTTATCTCTGTGTGTGAAGAATTTTTTCTTGAAATTTTTTAGGCATAGCACATGACTAATAAGTCGGATCTTTTTGTTACACGGAGAGGATATTACAGCTTCTCCAGTTCTTTCTGATACTGCACCTGGAAGGGCTGATGAGTTTGCCGTAGACCTTTTAGGGCGTTGAGTGCCAGCTTACTGTGTGGTTTTTGTATTACTGTCCTGATTTTGACCAAATGGAATGTCATGCCAGTGTTGTTTTGGGCTTCGTGGCCTTATGAAACTGTAACCTACCTTTTTAAACTATCTTTTCCCTCATTTTGCGAAGGTCATTGTGTTTGAGAGGATATTCTTCCAAGTTTTACTCATGCTTTTGAGTACAGTTTTATCACCATCAGTCATGTAATAGAAATTTCTCTTGGTTTCTGTGCGTGAAGCTTAGTTTGTAGTATGCTGGCAGTGACTTGCTGCTGAACAGAGCCATGGATTTGGTTAGTTTTAGCCTTGCTTTGCAAAATACATTGATGTTTATAAAATGCTTTCCTTCCAAAATTGGTGAGATTTTTTTTTTTTCAATTTGTTGTTAAACTGCACTTCATACCGTAAATCTGAAAAGGCACGATACTTGAGTTCTGCTGAGTTTGAATATAATCACTGTTCAAAGTCCTTCTGTGGATGACCTTAATTAATGGTACCGTTGTTTGCTGGCAGCAAGTGCATTGAAGAGGTAGGAGGTTATTTGCAGGCTAGACCAGGGCTACTTTCGTGCCTGTGCATTTTTCATTCTTTCTAAGTGTGGCTGGAAGTTTTCTGTTTTTCCAAACTGTATGAGCTAAGTCCTGATTCTTACTTTTGTTGTCAGGCCTTCCATGATTTCAACTGTGAATGTAGGTGGTTTGGTTAAATTTGGATGGGCTGCACCTTGCTTATTTCGTTGTGTATAAACATGCTAATAGAAGCAAGTTTTATTTCCTGGTAAGATGGTTTGAATGATAGCTCATCCTTCTTTAAGACAATGCTTCCTTTTCTGGCTCTAGGTTAAGATTTAAAGGAATAAGATATAATTAAGCTGCTTTTCTTCACTTGTGAGCTGCTGGGGTCCTCCCCCCAGATTTTGTTTCTACAAGGTCACGAGAGAGCAGAGAATCAGCGCAAAGAGAATGGTATATTTAAGACTGATGGCAACTTCATATGTTTTTTTCTGGTTTTTGGTGCTCCGGGGTTAGACTGGTGCATTGTAATGTGTGTAGGTCACTGCCTAAATACACACAGCTGAAGCTAGTGTGGGATACCAAGGCTGTGCAGCCTAAGTGGTATATTTTTAGATGAAGCATGTGATAGGGGCTGACTGGGCTACCTCTCTGTCTCAGAGGAGTGGGAAAACAAATCCCAGATTTGTTAGTTTAAAGTGGCTCAGGATCTGCTGATATAAAGACTCACCAGTTTCTTCTACGATATCATGAAATCGTACAGGAGCAATTTAGAATTTTTTTTTTTTTTTTGTAAAAAGAAAATAGTTGCAGGCAGAATATATATTCCCTAGAAAACACTATGATCTTGCTTATTCTGCCTGCAGCTTCCTTTGAATTTGTTCTGCTTGAGATGATTTGATAAATTTCCCTTTTCTCAGTTTGATAAAACTGGCACCTAAACAATTTGATTGAGCAGGATGAAAATATGTTACTAATAAGGAAATCTGATTTGTAGTATCATGCTGACAGCGTTACTTCATGGATTCTGAACTTACATGTGATAAGGATACAGAGTTGTCTGTTGGCTTTACTATCTCAGGAGGATGGTTGCTGATGTTGAGTTTTTCAGTTAGTGTAATCCTAGACCATTAGTGATTCTTTCAGGGGATTGTTTTTTTCTTCTTCTCCATTTCTCCCTCCCACCCTCTCCTGTATGCTGATATTAATGCGGTTGTAAGTTGGGTACAGAACAACACGTAGTAAAAAGGAGTAGTACAAAGTGATAGTAGGGAGAAACAATTTGAATTGAAGAAGTGGTGCTTCAATTTAGATGTAGTCCTTTGGGTTACTCTTTCAGAAAGCTGAACCCAGATTTCATGCACCAGCAATCAAAATACGAACTTGCAATTCTGTAATTCTAATTTATTAAATTAACTGCAAGACTGGAAACTTTTACAGTTTTTATTCTTCATGCTGTCCAGTCTCTCAAAGCTTGTTTTAGTTCTCTGGAGGAAAGTAAACATGCCAGAGTTCCTCAAGAATGTTTATAAAATACGTGCTGCTAATATTTACACAAAATTTGAGCCAAGAGTTGAAAAGATGGAACGTTGCATGCACGCTTGCTTATTTGCAAGAGGAGGAACTGCAGAGGATTTCTTGAGAGGATTTCAGCCCAGCTTGGTGATTGTGTTTTCCGAAGTGTAATTCCTTGTTCTCTAGCAGTTGTCTGTAGCAGTAAAAAGCACTGAGACATTTAAGACATCCGTCCTAAGTATTTAATATTCAAATATAAGGCAGTTGTGGTAGTCTTCACTTTATTAGATCCTTAATTAGAGCCTAATTCTGCCAATTTGTCAGTATGAGTTGTCACTTGGAAACAAATGATGCCGATGCCGTCTGCATCTGGGGGGAGAAAGAAGTCTGTTGGACAGCATTTCTCTCCAGTGCTGCTCCTTGATTGATTTCTACACAGGACTTGCTTCTTGAATTTTTTTGTTCTTAATCTCTGAAGTAGTTTGGCTGACTGGGGTACCAGTTTCTCACGTGCAGAATTGCTTTTAGACATTATATTTGTTTTCCGTTAATCCTTTGAAAGTTTAAATCTATTTTATAAACATTTGTAATATCAGTAAACAAATTACTGCTTGTTTACACTCTTAATTCCCCTATTAACAAATTAGACTGTTCTTAAATAATTTTGTTTTGAAAAAATTAAAACTCGCTTTTGATGTTTTGATAAATATGAGCTTATTAGTTGGAGGTTTTGATGCAGGTTTTTCAACCTTTCTGTTCTATGGTTTGTGAGTATTCTCTTAATGATGTGTTAGCTTTTGTAACGCCAACAAGTGTTTGTGTGCTGAAGTCCTGTAATTGCTTGTCAGTATTTTTGTTGGACTACAGGAATTAATTACATACATTTCACTTTATAGATTTTGCTTTTTGTACTGGAGAGTGTTCAGATTAACCGGAGCTGGTGTGAGGCGACCTGCACTGTGTGTTACCAGACATGCAAGGGCAGGATGTAGACTCAGTATTTACGAGTAGGTGCATCATGTGCTAGTGGTTTAGGGCAAAACAATCCTGAATTTAATGGGCTTTTTATTTGGTGTTTGACGGGTTTAATAGTGGTCACATGTTCCTTAATGTATGCAAATAATTGTCGCTGGAGTTTCACAAGGTAGAAATGAAGGCTGGCTTTGCCTTTTCTTCATGGCAATTTCATTGGTACCCAAACTCTTTTGCTTTGGGGGGAGGGAGTATGTGTTTGGGTTTAGTAGTAGCATTAATATTTTTTTATTGATCTAATTAAAATTATATTGGTAATTCTCTTTTTTGAATGGCAGAGTGAGTGAAGCTGACAGGAAAACTTTCTGATTATCTGATGGCTTAAAGTCTTAAAAAAAGATACCTGAACCTAAAATGATTTGTTCTAAATGAGAATGGCAGCAAGTGATTTTCCCCATATCTTACATTTAGGATATTTGTGCAAAATTTTTCTTTTTTTGCTTTTCTCGTAGTCGTTGAGGACATACTAGTTCTTCAGATCTGAAGGAAGTGAAGAAATACGTCACATTTCAGTAAGGTGTATGCAGCTGCCATCCTGGCAACTTGCAGTTAGTTGGATGTTCCCTACAAAATGTCCTTCCGTCACGACAGCTCTATAGACACTGCACTTCTGTGCCACGCTTACTGCAACCATGGCTTCCACATCCTTGGCTGACCAGTGAGAGTCCTGTTTAGCACCAGTGGAACATTGATACTCTTTGTTTGCTGGTTCAGCTGTAAGGTCACGTTGGTGGGTAAGGTCTGGCACCAGAAGGTGGTGTATTTACTCTGTGGTAGTGCTTGCGCTCCGTCCGGCAGGTTCACATTCAGCTGGGTGCTGTAGAAACCAGACTAGGTTTAAAGGTGGTGAGCAGGTTCAGTGTGGTACTCTGCTTTCTCACTGAAGATGAGCGGAATTAGCTTTTGTGTCTGTTGGGAGCTAACCCCTCACATTGACATCATAGCCGGGCCCTACAGGTCACAGCTGGGGTGTACCGGAACAGTCTCAGCAGGTTGTGCTTCTGCCTTATCTGTGCCACATCTCATCCAAGCATGAAGACAGGACTTCAGTCTGTACACCTTTCAAGGTGGCAGCTTTCAGAATTACTGAAATCGTTCTTTAAGAGGAGATGTATTTGCCTAAAGGAGTTGCAATGGGAAGATGCTACTGCAGCATCAGAAAAAGAAAATACATTCCTGTAATTAGAGCTCTTTGGATATTGATCTATTGTGAAAACGAAGATGTTATAAAACTGTTTTGCAATGTGTAACTTGAGAAATACCAATCAGATATTGCACATTTTTGCAGAACCAAGCTGAAGAACCATGAATATGAAACTTTAGATCAGTTGGAGGCTGATCTGAACTTGATGTTTGAAAACGCCAAGCGATACAACGTTCCCAATTCTGCCATCTATAAGAGGGTGCTGAAAATGCAGCAGGTTATGCAGGTATGTGGAGTAGAGCGATCAAAAGAATATAACTTCACTTGTGAATTTATTTCCCTAATGAATATTTTTCCAAAACAGTCTCTAACTAGAACTGTATTTACAGTAGTATTTCCTTGCTTACGGGGAAGTATGGGAATGAAGAGCATCCTAGGGTGATTTTTCTTCAGCACACCTGCTGCTTTCTGAGATGTGATTTCTTTTGGTTACTTTTATTCCTTACTATGACTCCTAATGCAATTAAGGTGTGAGAAAATTGATGATGTGGGTGTTTCTTAGGGTTTGCAGATAATGGAAGGATGCTAAACCACTTCACATTTCATGAAGTGTTCCAGCTAAGTGCTGCAGTCTGAAATGGCATTGTTTTCAAATCGATTCCTCAAAATCTTTTCTGACAGTTGAAAAGAATTATACTGCTGTTTTATGTTGGCCAACTTGTATTAAATAAATCACTGGAAATACTTTGATGGTGCTTTAGTCCCCAAACCCGTTGTTCCATCTTTCTTTGTGCATCTAAAAGTTCTGATGTGTAGCGTTCTGGAAATGACCAGCAGTGAGTTTGGCTCCAGGGTTTTCTCCTTTTTTCCAGGCAAAGAAGAAAGAGCTTGCTAGAAGAGATGACATTGAAGATGGGGACAGTATGATTTCTTCTGCTACATCTGATACTGGAAGCTCAAAAAGGAAAAGGTATCCACTTCTGTAGTTCGCGCAGACCCTGGTGTTGCGACATCTTTTATTTGTTAAAGAGAATATTAAGCCGTGGTTTTTAGCATTTGTGTGAGGATTTGTAGTTCTGAAACTTAACTTTATTAAGTGTTCGTTCTAATTAATTCAAAACTGTTTGCTGACTTTATTTGCCTTTTTTGGCCTCTTAGTTGTCAACATCAGTTCAGTAAGTGGCATGGACATTGTAGTTGCACTGAATTAGGTAATTTTGTCAGTGGATTTCAGGACTTTTAAAAAATTATTTTTATCATGGTGTGTAGACTGTCTTCACAGGCTCTTAACAATTATTACTTCATTTCCTGCTTCTTTGATATATGACTGTTTAGGTAGTTTGGGTAACAATTTCCGAATATAATTAAAGTTAACACTATAATTGAATTATTTTTTAGAAAGTTTATAGTATTGGTCTACAAATATTTTTATTTGGTGAAGTCTCCTGGCATAAATATTTTCATTTTCCATGACCTGAACTCTGCTTGAGGAGTTTTCCTCATTAATATTAGAGGGCTGTTTCTCTCTTCCTTCTGAACTTGCACTCTGGTTACTTGCCTGTCAGTGGCTTGGCTGAAGAGGGTGTTTGACAAACAGATAGTTGTGTCTCGGTTGTGCTGTCATTTCTTAAGACAATTGTAATAGCTACACATAGGATGACTCTGAAGTTTGTGGTGATAGCATCTACGTGGCCATTTTCTAAAGGTTTGCCCTTTTGGTGAGCTTTATTGACTAGGACTTCATTTGACTGTGGTTGACAGATATTTAAGCAATTCAGACTCTACTACTACATTCTTGATGTCCTTATTTTTCTTGTATTTGGTACTAAAGAAGATATAGAACATCAAAGGCTTGAGCTATTTGTGTTCAGCAGAGGTAGTCATGCAGATACTGGCTGAAGGGTTGTCATGGCTTAGGCCCAGATGGCAGCTGAGCACCACGCAGCTGCTCGCTCACTCCTTCCCCTGTGGGATGGGGAGGAGAAAATAGGTGGAAATGCTGGTGTGTCAAGACAAGGACAGGGAGGAATCACTCACCCATTATGGTCATGGGCAAAACAGACCTGACTGGAGGAAAAACTCAGTTTAATTTGATGCCAATCAAATCAGAGTAGAATAATGAGAAATAAAAAACAGATCTTAAAAAACCTTCTCCTCACTCCTTCATTCTTCTCAAGTGCAGCTTTGCTTCTGATTTCTCTACCTCTTCCCCCTGAGCAGCATGGGGGACAGGGAGCAGGGGTTGTGGTCATTTCATCCCACCTTGTCTGCTGCTTCTTCCTTCTCAGGGGAGGATCCTCACACCCTGACCCCGCTCCAGCCTGGGCTCTCTCCCATGGGAGACAGTCCTCCACCAACTTCTCCAACGTGGGCCATGGTTTTCCTCACAAACTGCTCCGGCATGGGTCCCTCGCACAGAATGCTGTCCTTCAGGAGCAGCCTGCTCCAGCACGGGTTTCACAGAGTCATGGGCTCATCGGGCACAGCTGCCTGCCCTGGCATGGGGTCCTCCCTGGGCTGCAAGGGGGTTTCTGCTCCCCGTGACCCTCCGTGGCTGCAGGGGCACAGCCTGCCCTCTCACCACAGGCTGCTGGGGAACCTCTGCTCTGGCCACCTCTTCCCCAGCTTTCCTCACGGACCTGGGTGTCTGCCTTGTTGTCTTGCACGTCCCACTCCTCTCTGAAGGTTCTCCTCATTTTCCTGTCTTAAATACGTTAATCACAGAGGTGCTGGCCTTGACCAGTAGCGAGTCCATCTTGGAGCTGAGGGAGCTTCTAGCAGCTTCTCACAGGAGCTACCCCTGTAGCCCTCTCCCTCCAGCTACCAAACACCTGCCAACACAGAGGTTTTTTTCCCTGTTTGCACTAGATCTTGAGGTCTTAGATTCAGACACCTAATACTGACTGATCTGTTTGCAGCTGGAAAGTGCTTAGACCTCCTTTTGACCTTTGTGCTTTTGAAAACTCATTATTTGGTTTATTCTGTAGAACATTTAAGATGAATGAGAGCAAAATCATATCTTAAAGTTGGCTTCCTGTTTTTTTTTCTTTGAGCAGACTGCTGGTTATGATGCTGTCTGTATTTGCATGTGAACCTACGTTTCTAGAATACTGTATTAATGTTGAACTTCTTGTGTGTGTTTAGGTGGTTGCGGTTGTTTTCTCATGGTAGAGGATAATGTCATTTTGATTCTAGTGTTGGAAGTGAGGAAAAGAGCCCGTGACATTTATTAATTTCCTTTTTATTTCTTCTCCTTAACCTACCAGTAAAAAGAATATACGAAAACAACGCATGAAGATCTTATACAATGCTGTTCTGGAGGCTCGAGAACCGGGCACAGGCAGACGGCTCTGTGATCTGTTTATGGTTAAGCCATCCAAAAAGGACTATCCAGACTATTATAAAATTATCTTGGAGCCGATGGACTTGAAAATGATAGAACACAACATCCGCAATGATAAGTATGTAGCGGAAGAAGCCATGATCGAAGACATGAAGCTCATGTTCCGAAATGCAAGGCATTATAACGAGGAAGGCTCCCAGGTAGTGTTTTGATTCTGTGGTTACACTTAACCTCTGCTTCTTTACAGACATATAGGTTGGGTTGACTATTACAGTGTTTATGATAATTGTTTATTGAATTAAAATTGAAAAGTGACTTTTTCTTTCTGCAGGTGTTTTAAATTCAATCCTTGTCTATAGCTGTATAAAAATGAGATAGAGCATGCTGCTTTGTGAAGGTTAGACTTATTTCCCGTTAGCTAAACGTGTTCCTCCACTAAAAGAACATCAGCTGAATGTTTTCTACTATGTTTTAAAAAAAATAAGCTGGTTAATGTATTCTCATTGTTCACTGTGCAAATACCTTCAATTAACTGAGGGTGAATAGTCATCAGCATGTGATTTGGAGCTCAGAACCTCTGAGAAGGGTTGTCTTAGTTGGAAAGAAGCCATCTTTATTTTCATGGAAGTGGAGAGTGTGGGAGATCAGACTAGAAGACCCGACTTGTTTAATCCAGCAAAAGGAGCCCGAAAGGAATATGCTTTTCACTTACAAATACACTGTAGGGTGTTGCTATATTGTGGTGTTTCTCAGCCAGCAAGCATGATGTTGTGGAACAGAGTGGTGGTAAGAAACCTCCAGCTATTTCTAATGAGGAACTTGGTCAGCTACTGTACAGGACTTTATGATGAGCTTGTGTTCACTGGGCTTGGATTTGAAGACCCGGGAGGACCGTTCTAGTCCTGTGTAGCTTGATGGAATTGCAATAGCTCGGGATCTTTCATTGCTCAGCAGAATGGTCTGATGAGGAAGTTGATAGGACAACTGCACCTTGCCGTATGGTAGTCTTTGGAATAGAAGTGCAGCTTAATTGGATAATTTACTCAGTATTTCTATCTCCCTGAATTAGATGGCATTCATGAGTTCTGCTTGCCCATATTAGTCTATTAAAGGTGTACAATTGAGAAATAAGCCCTTCTTTTTTAATCAAGTACTTGGTTTTGCATTCAGCTTTTTCAAACTGGCATTTAAATGTTTCTTGGGGGCTAGTTCTAAACCAGTGTAAACACAGTAAGCTTTGTTTTGTTTTGGATTTTGATTACTTTACTGATTAATAGGTATACAATGATGCCCATATGCTGGAAAAGATCCTTAAAGAAAAAAGGAAAGAACTGGGACCCCTAGCTGAAGATGATGATGTTGCATCCCCTAAACTAAAGCTAAGTAAGGCAACCTCGTACATTGCTATGTCTCATTTCAACACTTATGAAACCCCAACAATTCAGACTAACAGATCTTCCTCTTAGACTAGCCATCTACAAATTTACATTGGCTTGCAAAGTAGAATTATATTTTCAAAATCATCACAGCAGTGGTTACTTTATATGTGCATATAATAGAATTCAGTTGTTGCAGGTAGCGTTTTCTAAGGAAAGTAATTTAGAATGAAGAAAGAAAACTTAGGAATGGTTGGAATGACTGGTGTTTAGTCATGTGGTGTTATCCAAGTGATAGATGCTGCATTATGTGCTCAGTAACACTTATCACTGGGATTACTTACAACTAAGGTGCTTCTCAAACCAAGTGAAGTTCTTAATTTCCCTGGTCAAACGAATGATAAAAGTGAGCTTTATCTGGAAAATTATTGAAAGCCATGAAAAACACAGAAGCAAAATTTTCCAACAATGTCTGTTCCTAGATCTGTTGCCCTTACAAACTAGGTGTGCTACTACTCAGATCTTAAGGCCCCCGTAGTACGTGTTGAGCAATTAGCAAACCGCAGAGGTTAAAATTGCACAGAAAGGTTTAAAGGAAATAACTACACACTGCCTTCTCAAAATAGAAAAGTGCAGCTCTTAGGTAAGGTGCAGGCAGTAGAGAATTCACAGAGACTATGCAGAACAGTAGCAGAGATCCTGAATTAATCAAAAACCTAATCTGAATAATAATCCCATGGGAGGCCTTATTTTACATTTTACCTGTATTAATACTCTCTAATTTGGCATAAACCTGTCATAAAGGAATCTGATAATATTTAGGATGCTTAATTTTAGTGATAGCAAAAACCCCATGATGCTTGGATTTTTAACAGCCGTAGAGAGAAACTCATGTAGAGCTAGTAAGACCAAATTGAATTTAGAGGAGTTATTAACAACATTAGTTAGGGAAAAATGTTTTCCATGCTTAAGTCCGAAGAGACTTCCACCAGGTGAATGACACAGGGACATATGATTCTGTGTTTGCCAAAAAAACCACATTTAAAAATTACATATATGTACAGTTATGAAAAATGAAGCCCCAACTTGGGATGGGCTCCATGTGAGTCTTCTGCCCATACCATAAAGTGGTTCTTCAATGAACAACTTTCCAATGGAAAGGAGATGGACAAACAAGTGTGCAAGCTCTGGTTTTGTAATAATTCTTTTTTTTTTTTTTCCCCCTTTTGTCTCCTTAGGTAGAAAAAGTGGCATATCTCCTAAAAAATCAAAATACATGACTCCAATGCAACAGAAGTTGAATGAGGTGTACGAAGCAGTTAAGAATTACACGGATAAACGAGGCAGGCGACTGAGCGCCATCTTCTTGAGGCTGCCATCGCGGTCTGAACTTCCTGACTATTACGTAACCATTAAAAAGCCCGTTGACATGGAAAAGATCAGAAGTCATATGATGGCAAACAAATACCAGGATATTGATTCCATGGTCGAGGACTTCGTCATGATGTTCAATAATGCTTGCACATATAACGAGCCAGAATCTTTGATATATAAAGATGCTCTGGTCCTGCATAAAGTTTTGCTTGAAACTCGGAGAGAAATAGAAGGCGATGAGGATTCTCATGTGCCCAATGTCACTTTGCTGATTCAGGAGCTTATTCATAACCTTTTTGTATCTGTTATGGGCCACCAGGATGATGAGGGCAGATGCTACAGTGACTCCTTAGCTGAAATTCCGGCTGTTGATCCCAACTTCCCAAATAAACCTCCTCTGACTTTTGATATTATCCGAAAAAATGTTGAAAACAATCGCTACAGAAGGTTGGACTTGTTCCAGGAGAATATGTTTGAGGTACTGGAGAGGGCAAGGAGAATGAACAGGTGAGCGAAGCCCTATTTTTCAGGTCTTTTGTATTATCACATGAGCTTTGCATGTTATTGTTAGACAAAGGTTGAAGGTTGTGGGGTTTTTAAGGTGTTTGCTTTCCTTGGTATGGATGTTTAGAAAACTGAATCTCAAAAGTTCTACCAGGTCTTCAGTGCAATGTATGCTTTCATTTAAAAACAAGGAAGAGGTTAGTTTCTGCCATAAGATAATTCTGATGTTAGTCTTCCAAATGCAGACCTCATGGAAAAACAGGTTTGTGGTAACTTTCAAATTGGAAAAAGCCAACAGGGAGGAGCTGTTTGCTGACTGCTTGACTAGTAGATTACTCTTTTGGAGCACTCACAGTTGTGTGAGTTATGGTAATACTGTGCAGTAGCTATGAACGTTTGCAACTTCTTGCGCAGTGTTTTACTTGAATGAGGTAAAGTACTTCGGGATAGGCGGGAGATCTTGAGTCTGAGGGAGAGGTGGTAAAAATTATATGAAAACATCTACTGACAGGAGTACGGGTAATTAAAGTAAGTCAGGTTTGTTAATAATAATGTTATTACTTAAGTTTTCAGAAGTTAACAGACTGTAGAAATTTGGTGGCAGGTAGTTATGGCTGCAACCAGTTACCTTTTGATTTTTCTGGTGTTTCAGGACTGGTATATACATAAACGCTGTTTTAGGTAAAGTATAATACAAACTGACAGCAGAGGAGCAGGTAGAGCTATGACTTGCCAGTGTCTGCTGCTGCTTGTTATGAGTAAGCACAGAAATCTGTTGGAGGAGTGAAGCGTCAGTCTTACCAATAAGTCTGGCAGTCAATGGGTACGTGTTTAGGATCCTGTTTGACCCTGCACAAACTATGTTTCTGCCCTCTTGTATGTGGTCTTGTACAGGACTGACTCAGAGATTTATGAGGATGCGGTCGAACTTCAGCAGTTCTTTATCAAAATTCGAGATGAACTTTGTAAGAACGGGGAGATTCTTCTCTCACCTGCTCTCAGCTATACCACCAAGCATCTTCACAATGATGTGGAAAAGGAAAAGAAGGAAAAGCTGCCGAAAGAGATAGAGGAGGATAAGCTCAAAAGAGAGGAGGAGAAGAGAGGTAGCTACTTTTTGTTCATTCATTTGTAAATTGCAAAACATGCGTATGATGTATGCTCTGCTGTTGCTGCAGCTTTGCCTACTGCAAGGGTCTTAGTAGTCTGATTGTCTGCCAAGGGTTTGTATTTTGATGGTATGAGACATTTATTTTATTTTAATCCTTATCAGCCATGCCAGGTGGTTTTAAGATAGAGATGTAGGTAGATACTAACCTTACATAAATTCCGTAATCAGAACACATTGGAGTACCAGTAGTGTTATTTCAAGGATATTATAAAAGACAACAGTAATTATTTACGATAGCTTTCTGCTGATAATAAACCTAGCAATGGCTGTTCCAATTCACAAATACTGGTTTCCTGGTGTACTGGTGGTGTTGTCTGTGATCATACTTTTAACACTGCTAAACAAATGGTATTTAAGTAAGACTTTTGCATTTCTTGCTTGGCTACTGTGAGCGTGAAGAGGAATGGGCGTGCACTATTTTGTAGGGCAAGAAACCTACTGTGAAGATTCTTTGTGTTTCACGGTTCCTGGCTGTTACTATCCATGTAATAGCTGTGGAGCAGGTCTAGGGGAATGAATAAAGCTTTCTAATTGCAGCTGTCCATGGATTGGAGCAGAGCTGTTTGCCGTTTGTCCTTGAATTGGCTCTCTCACATGGTTCATCTTCGCACATAGCACTAATGTCAGCAGTAGTGAAGTCTGGTTACTCCAACCAGGCTCAGTATTATAAGGGGACAACAATTATGATGCCCTTTTTCAGTCTTCCTTTGAGAGCTAAAAACCCCAAAGAAGGCAAAATGGGCCTTTCTGAAGGCTTCTGAGCTCAGTGCTGTCATAGAGTTCCTCTTCACTCACTGGGAGGGCTCAATAAAATTCAGCTGAAGAAGGGAAACCCAGTCTTCAGCAGCACCCATAGCACCAGAAGGGCTAGCAGCACAAAGCACTCTTAAACCCTCCCTTTGTGCTGGAAGTCAGTGACGGAGGGATGCAGCAGGCATCGGTGGCACTTTTGCACTCAGCAAAGGGTGAGGGCACTCATCAGCAATCTTGGTCAATGTGGAAATGTGGCATTACCAACCTTACTAACATCTGTTTTTTCCTTCTTGAAATAAGAAGCTGAAAAGAGTGAAGATTCTTCTGGGTCAGCTGGGCTGTCAAGCTTGCATCGGACCTACAGCCAGGATTGCAGCTTCAAGAACAGCATGTACCATGTAGGAGATTACGTGTATGTGGAGCCTGCAGAACCCAACTTGCAACCTCACATAGTCTGTATCGAGAGGCTGTGGGAAGATTCGGCTGGTAAGGATGCCTTTGCTATAGGAAAACAATATGGTGAAAGTTCTTGTTACTACATAAAACTTACAATTTGAGCTTTTTCTGTGTAGATGTTATTTTATTTGCAGAAGTACATGTGAGCTGGTCAATATTTTTCTTGTTTCTGAGTTGTTTTGTTCCAAAGAATATTACAAATATAAAGTACTTGGATCAGCACACGCTTTTTTGTTGTTCATCTCTATCTACCCTCAAATTGTAAGCATCCCAGAAAATAGGCTTTTCTGAGTGGGATGGGCTCCTTGTAATTTAGGTGCAGGAGAACACTTAGGGGGTTTTTCTGTGCTGAGAAATCTGAACCAAAAAGTTGTGTGCGTTTAGCTGTAAATGTTACACAGAACAACTCAGAACTTACCTTTGTTAAATTTCAGACTTGAGCTGAATCTTGCATTTCCTAGGCCAAATCAAGCCGTAACAAGTACTGTTTTGGTTTTTTCTCATCAGTGATACCTTCTGTTTGCAGCAGGTACTTCTCTTCGGTGTAAGAAAGGCTAAAGATATGGCAAGAGTATAAGATAAGCGTGATGCACTCTCAGCAATCCTGGAAAATACCGTTGCTGAGAACTACAGTGGGGTATAGTGGAGTTAACCATTTTGGGTGCACTTTTTTTAAAGGGATGGAACGGATGTGTTACAAGGGCAGATTAGAAAGACTGTCACTCTTTAAATTTGGAGAAGGGAAATGTAAGGCAGGATATAATAAAGGTTTGGAAAACCATGAAGTGGGTAGATAAGGTGAATGCAGAAATACTGTTCAACAAAGCCAGCAGTACTAGAGCTAGAGGGCACTCATTGACACGAATAAAGCAGATCAAAGCACGTGAAAGTGTTTGGCTTTTTAATAGAGTGGGTCATGAGTCTGTTGTCTTCCCCAGGAGCTTGTGGTGGCAGATTATATCAAAAGGTTGAAGAATGGGTGGGACAATTCCATGTACAGCAGGTCTAAACCAAATAATAAAGGGAATAGCTAGCAAATATTAGCCAGGTAGAGAGAATAGCTCTCCTAACATCCTAATGCATTGACTGTAGGAGGAGTGGAATGCGTATGGAGAGTGGCCAAGGTGACATGTGTTCTCCTAGCAGTCCGTCCTGCGCACTCAGTTGGATAAAGTGTGTTTGGGTAGATGGACCATTGGCCAGTTGGACGTTTATGTTCGTTTGTCTGTGATGGAGAAAGTGAATAGCACTGTTTCTTCTGGTTCAGGCTACAGATTACGGATATTTTATTTAGAATAACAGTACATATTTGTAACTTCTTTATAAATTACTGTGAAAAATTTGAATTTGTCATAGCATAACATGGAAGAAATAGGTCTTGAAAAACTTGAAACCAGTTATTCAAGGTTTTTCAAATAATCAGGTGATTGTTGCATAGGCTTTGAAGCCATTTTAAGGCCTGAAAGTCAAGAATTATAAATAAGTCGCAGACTGTTTCCTGAAGTCATCTGATACAACAGAACTGATTCCTCCTTAATTTTGCTGAGTCGGGTTTTACTGGGGTAAAACCAATTTCCAGGCATTTTACCTGAAACAGTAAAAGAATCTTGCCCTGGTTTAAAAGTTTACTTTCAGTATAAACAGCTGTTTGATTAATCAATCAATCTATAGTTGTTTTTTCTTGCTCATGCACTTGAGAGTATACTGTTTTACCTCCTTTTCTTTCTCTCTTCTCTCTTGCTATCTTTTTCCCCCCCCCCTCTTAGGAGAGAAATGGCTGTATGGCTGTTGGTTTTATCGACCAAATGAAACATTTCATCTTGCAACACGAAAATTCTTGGAGAAAGAAGTTTTTAAAAGTGACTATTACAATAAAGTTCCTGTTAGCAAAATTTTAGGCAAATGCGTGGTCATGTTTGTTAAGGTGAGAGGCTATTCAGGCAAATTTTGTCTCTGCTGATTTCTTGACAAAGTGTAGGCATTCTAATGGAGACATTCTACTAGTACTTAAATAAAATGGGACTTGCTCGTGTGTACTGTTTGTATTGCTCATTTGCTTCATGAGATCGGGAGTTCATCCAAGTGGTGATGTTTCTTGGTGCTGTTTGGTTTGTAGAATTATGTGCCTACTAATAATTAGCCAACTGATTTTTTTCAGAGCATTTAGTAGAGAAATTGCAGATAACTTCTTAAAGGTTCCCCTCAAAGCATGTAGATTTATGTTTGGTTGAGAGAGAGGCTTGAATGGCTTAGTAAGAGGATGAAGTTTTCACCTCTGTCTCAGGTTTGATTCCACGTTATCCTTGTGCTGAGAATCTTTGGCTTGCTTGCAGCAGACTCTCTCACCCAGTTTTTAGAAGGTAGTGTGTATGGAAAAATGCTACAGCTGCTGAGTACACGAATGGGTATCACAGTTACATGTCAGTGAGCATGGAGCTGACTTCGCCCCCCCCAAAAGCCCCTTTGTGGTCATGTCCTCTTTCCAAGTCAAAGCTCAGAAATCTTTTAAAGGTTGTTTTGGGCTGCAGATCTTGTACTTTTTAATGTACTGTTTTGGTAAACGAATAAAACCCAACATTTCTCACACGATAACCTGTGCTGAATTTAGCTTCTCTAAGGGATTTCTTGTTGTTTGTTTTTAATTTTTAATGTAACTTGGATGTCAAACTGGAAGAAAAGAACTCGGCAGAAAGGCTTTATTAGTCTAAAAGTGTTTCTGATAGAAACATAAGAAAAAAACAGGAGGCATGAGAAGGGAGTTGACTGTGTGTGTGGGGAGGGTGTGTGTGTGTGTGTGTGTGTGTTGCTGAAATACTTCATCCGTTTTTCTTCAATCTGCAGGAGTATTTTAAACTGTGTCCTGAAAACTTTGGAGATGAGGATGTCTATGTCTGTGAGTCACGTTATTCTGCAAAGACAAAATCTTTTAAAAAGATTAAACTGTGGACTATGCCTGTCAGCTCTGTAAGATTTGTCCCACGAGATGTACCCCTGCCTGTAGTCCGTGTTGCCTCTGTATTTGCTAATACAGAAAAAGTAGATGAGGAGAAACACGCTGAAACGTTGGAGGACAGTAAGGTGGGAGAAAGTATCCTTCATCTTGAAAAGGTATGTAAGATAACAAGTGGAACCTCCATCACGTTTGATAGATAAGAAGGCTCACATTTTGTCATTCTTTAACTTTGGTTTTACAGCATTCAGACACAATAAAATATAAATTAATATAATATTTATGTTATACATTGTTATATGGGTTTGCAAATATATGCAACCAACATATAGACTAAACAGAAAATAAGCTGTGTACATATTTGCTAGACTCTACAGTTGCTTTATTGTGATCATGTGATGGGATCTGTGGCTTTTTTACCACTTTAGAAAAGAAAATTACACTTACAATGTAAAGCTTGCCTTAAGCCTAAAGAATCAGGAGAGCTAGAGTCTAATTTTACTTCATGGCAATGCTGAAATGCTTTATTATGTAGTATTTCAGTGAAATAGTCTGTAGCTAGGCAGCAGTAAGCAATATATAATATTCTGTTGTTTGTGACCTGCTTGTGGTTGATAACTCAGTAGTTTGTTGTTGAGATGCTTAAGAGTATTTCTATCCAGCATACTGGGTAAAATGGTTTATGTTATTGTATTTAGAGTCAGAAAAGAAATACATTTAAATGAAGGTATTAAATTGAGTTTGTCTAAAATAAATTTAGAGCCATAAAAAAAAATCTTGGAGTCATAAAATAAATCCAGTTTACTTTGAGTTCTGTAATAGAACCTCAGAACAGAATACCCAGCATGTTCATTGCCAGCTTCAATCAGACAGTATTTATTAGTATATTTGTTCACATCATGACAAGAGAAGGAATTGTTTCTACCAAGAGAATGAAAACTTGTATGGTCTTGTCCTTCCACACCTTGGAGAGATTGCCTGTGTTTTTATTGGCTTCCTGATATCCTAGGCTAAAAGGTCAAATGAGGCAAATGTGAGTGTTGACTAAAAAGAAAGAAATTAAATAGGGCAAATGGTTTGAATTTGCAAGCAATACATGGAGTGTGATTAGTGTGTGTGTGTGTGTGTATATATATATATATAAAATACATACTATTGTATATGAGAGTTGAATCATTAAATTTCTATGTCTGTTAACTTGTCTATATACTCGATTCTTGCCTCTTAAGCATGTTACTGTGCTTTAAACCAACCCATCAGTAAGCTGACAAGGCGTGGCTTGGCCTGTTAACTTTGAAGCAGTAGAACAGAAAAGGACCTGTAGATCATTGTTCCAGCAATCAAATCTTGGTGAAATAGGAAAACTTGTGACATACATGGAGGGTTTCTTTGACTTTGCTATTTCACTTTTAAATTTCAAGACCCCTCACTTTACCATGAGCAGCTCTGTTTAGTGTTCACCTATTATCAGTAACATAAAGATGGAGCAAAGTCTTTTACTTGCACCTGGCATCTTTTTATGTATGTGTTTGGTTTTCCTCCTTCCACAAGTTTCTAAATGCATCTTCTTCTGCAGGACAAAGAAGATGTTCCCGTAGAAATGTCCAATGGAGAACCTGGTTGCCATTACTTCGAACAGCTCTGCTACAATGATATGTGGCTTAAGGTCGGGGACTGTGTCTTCATAAAATCACACGGGCTAGTGCGACCTCGGGTAGGAAGGTAGGCGCAACTTCTTTATTTGCAGTTTGTGCCTATAAAAATAACTTGGACAAAAGATGGGCTGGTTGCAAAAAGTATAAAAAAGGATGGGGAAAAAAATATTGTGAATTAAGCTAAATAGTACAAGCTCTTAACAGACTCAGGTGGAAGTTTAGCTACCTGTCAGGCTGAAAAGGTGACACAGTTGTACAGTTGGAATAGGCCATTCTTGTGTACTCATTTTTTACTGATAGTCTTGTTGCACAACCTAGTGCACCCGGCCGTCTCATTTAGGAGGGATGGCCTTTCATTTATGCCAGTGGTTTGGTTTTCTTCCCAGAATTGAAAAGATGTGGGTGCGAGATGGAGCTGCATATTTCTTTGGCCCAATATTTATACATCCTGAAGAAACTGAACATGAACCAACTAAAATGTTCTACAAGAAGGAAGTGTTTTTGAGTAATTTGGAAGAGACCTGTCCGATGAGTTGTATTTTGGGTAATTATTAACAACTTTAAATCCAATGGATGCTCTTTCTTTTCCTACACTGTCTGAAGTGATTTATAGCTATGTGTAGGCTTGATTCCAAGTATGGGGTGTTTTTTTCATACTGAGCCTGAGAGGAGAGGTTATTCAGTCCACTTCTAATGTGCATTCCTGTCTTTGGGACCTGTCATGAGAATTTTCACTATAAGGAAGCTTCCTTACAATAAGGGAATTATGTATATGGTATCAAAGTGAATGTTGTCTGCAGCCAGAGAACAGAAATCTTCGTTAATATCACTTATTAATGCAATTATTCCAGCATGCGTTAACCTGGAAAGTCAGTGCAGAAGGAGGCTGAAATTTGGTTTGTGGCATAAGGCGATGGCTGTGCGCTTTGTTTTGTAGTTACGATGCTGTGCCAACTGTAGTTAACTGATCATGAGGTTTTGTTATTTTGCAGGTTTCCTTGTTCTTTGAAAAAATCCAAAAGCTGCGTTAAGTTCCTCTAGGTTTCTCGTGTGGCGTTATTTAATAGGGATATCAATTGGTGTATTTTCCATAGTTGTGCCAAATAGTGGGAAATATCCAGAATTATGATTCTGACAGAAACTTGAGTTTCCGCAGCTGGTCAAATGTGTGCAAGTGTGGCTTCTTACCCAGCTCTTTTTTTCTGCAGGGAAGTGTGCGGTTCTGTCGTTCAAAGACTTCCTCTCCTGCAGACCAACAGAAATCTCCGAAAATGATGTTTTCCTGTGTGAGAGCCGCTACAATGAAAGTGACAAACAAATGAAGAAATTTAAAGGGCTGAAGAGATTTTCACTGTCTGCAAAAGTTGTAGATGATGAAATATACTATTTTAGGTATAAATGTGATGGGAATGTGGGGGTCACCTGAGCACTCTTCTGTACTGTGGTGAACTGAGCCTGGTTCAGCTAAGCCCCCACCCAGCCAGTTGCTCACTCCCCGGCAAGGGATGGAGGAGGGAATGAGAAGGGCAAAAGGATGAAAAACTCCTGAGTCCAGATAAAGACAGTTTAGTAAGTGAAGCAAAGCTGCACACAAACAAAGCAAAAAGGAATTAATTCACTACTTTCCATCGGCAGGCAGGTGTTTGGCCATTTCCTGGAAAGAAGCAGGGCTTCAGCACGCATAATGGTTACTTGGAAAGCACTATAACCCCAAATGGCCCCTCTTCCTCCTTTTTCCCAGCTTTTCTTGCTGAGCACCATTTAATGTGGTATGGAATACCACTTTGGTCAGGTTAGCTGTCCTGGTTGTCTCCCCTACAGCTTCTTGCCCACCTGGCCTACATCAGGGCTGAGTGGGAAGAAGAAAAGGCCTTGACGATGTGCCAGCGCTGTTCAGCAATAGCTGCAACATCCCTGTGTTATCACATTGTTGTGGTCACAGGTCCAGAACACAGCACCAAACAGGCTACTATCCAAAATTTAACTCCATACCAGCCAGACCCAGTACCTATATAAAAGTCATAGCTGTAGGAGATGAATCTTGACTAATAAAACTTTTGGAAAGAAGTCCAGATAAAATCAGTCTTTTCATGGTCTTAACATACCAGTGGGTGTTCTTTTTCTTCTGCTGGCTTTAGTAAAATTTATTACATTATCAGATTGGTAAATTCTCTTAGATGTCGTTAAAATATTTAAGTCCTCATTATGGATAATGAATAGCTTTCCAGTTGGTGAACATTGATATTAATAAAAATACTAAGTTCTAACTTAAGTAAAATATAAATTCTTAAGGAAGACGTGGTCTTAGCTGCCCTCTATTGCAGAAATGAAGTATTGGCTGCATTGAAATCCCCTTCAGCTCATTAAAAAAAAGAAAAAAATTCTTCAAACAAGTGACTGAAATGAAACACGGTCCACAGACAGTGATTTCTGCTCAGTGTTCTGAAAGGAAGCACCAGCACATCCTAAGTCATCATTGTTTCTGTGTTGTTTAGAGATAAAGGAAGAAAAGTTAGTTTTCTCTTCAAAAATACATGCTATCTCCAGTAAAATACGAGTGTATTCTCATCTGCTTTTTGTCTTCTTCCACCTTTCAGAAAACCCATCGTTCCTCAGAAGGAACCATCTCCACTGCTGGAAAAGAAGATTCAGCAGCTAGAAGCAAAATTCGCAGAGTTGGAAGGAGGTGATGAAGACATGGAAGAGATGGGAGAAGAGGAAGGTGATATGACTGAAACACCTTCTATGCCTCAGCTTCAGACCCCACTAGCTAGTGAGCTGGATATAATGCCTTATACTCCACCACAGGTAAGGATCTTCCTTGAGAAACCTTTAAACCTTTATATTCCGTATTCTTTCCCCAACACAAATAAACAAAGAAATAGTTACATTTTATCATATACATGGAAGGGATTTATGCTTAAGTTTACGAATCTATGGAATAAATCGCATGGAACAGTTTTGGCGTATCCAATATGATAACCAGGTGATAATATTCAAGTCCCTTGAAATATTTTTAAAGGAAATCATTTAGTTGAGGAATATCTAGGGTAGGTTTTTGTATGATACATGATTTCGAATTAGATTTTCTGTGACACTTGCTCAGAAATATCAGGTCTTTATATTAAATATAAAGTTGGGCTGTAAGGTTTTAATTGTAATTCTCAATTTACCTAACGCCCATTTGTAATCTTCCCCTTAAATTTTGGAAAAAGCTAGCATTTTGGGTGTTACGATTTTGCTACCTTTTTAGAAAATGCTATGTGCCATCCTCAAAGGAAAATAAAATCACTTTTTTAGTAGTAAGTTACCATTCTTACTTGGAAATGGGAACTTGTTGAAAATGTTAGAAGAAATGGATATCCTAGAAGCTTTAGTATTAATTTGCTGATAAATGTCTAGGAAGTAAAAGAGGAATCGTGTGGTTATATGCCACTTGAACGTAGCATGAGTCGTTGCTGCTGTTAATTGAGGCACTTTTGATCCCCTTTCCTCTCTTGCTGTGTTTCTTGCACACCCGGGTCTTTATGTAATGAAGTATTCAAGCAGGGTGAGGAACTGCTTTAACTGGAAATTTAACTAACCAAAAATGATTGTTTGCAACTGAATTAAACCCCTTATCTTTCTTACCGCATTGCCACATCCAAGCTAACGCCAGCATTAAAGAGGCAATGGGAATGACCTGCTGGGAACAGGAGGGACTTGGACACTTTTGTAACCAGCAGTGTGGATTTCTGCTGCGTCACATTGACTGTGAAGTGACAACCTCATGGGTAGCTGAGGAAAGGATGTGACCCCGAGCAGAAATAACAGTCTTTGGATGTCATGAAAAGGAGTTGATGAAAGGGGAAGCTTTAGCTTCGTTTGACTGGGATTTTTGCCATGTGGGCAGACCACCAAATGCATTTTCCTGTGCAAGGTTGTCTTGCTGCACGTTTTAATGTGCTGAATTTCCCAAGTAGCATGAAAACTCTTGCAGAGTATTACAAATAGAAAGTATGTTACCAGCTTCAACCGAATGGGATGCTAAGAATGGGAAGGTAACCTTTTATAAATCAAAAGATTACCATTGTTAAGCATGGCAGCTGCCAAAAGCAGTTGAAATAGGGATCGTTGGGCATTAAAGATGTCCTCAGACTGCTTTCTGCAGCATCCGCGGTCTCGTGATCTCCTTTGCTTTCCATTTTCTGCACAGCTGTGTTATGCTCAGATTCCCCTGAACTTTTATTTAAGTACTGACATATAATAGCTCTTTAAAAAGCCAGGTTGGTAGTTGGATTATTTTCTTAAATTGTTGGTAATGAAACAAAAAAACCCCAGAAATAAAACAAGTAAGGGAAACTGAAAAGGATCAATGCCAATGAATGCTACGAAGTGAATGATGATACAGAAGGGTCCTGACGGATCCTTCACTGCTGATTTGGAAAGAAAAGGCATGTTGTGTCTGAGCTGGCAGTCAGAGCACAATTTCACTGTGGTGGAGCGATAACTAACATGTAGTACAGAAATCAGCTTTCTTCTTCAGATAATCTGTTCCATTTATGTCCCTAGTGAAAAGTGTCTTTTTAAACAGAGCTCCTGGGTAAAAGGCATGTGGTTGCTTCATGTCCTCTTACACATATGGAATTTTATTTAAGAGCTATTAAGCCTCAGAATTTTTAGACTTTTTTTCTTGTGATACACCTAAATAGAACAGGAGTAAAGACAAGTCAATACATGGTGCTGTGGGGCTTGACGAATAGGTGGATGATGCTCTCCTGCTGCAGTTTGCTGTGAATCAAGTCGAACCTAAAAAAGATGTGCAACTTCACTGTTTGCTTTAGCAGTATGGCTGAGAAAAGGCATAAAAGGGCGTCCTGCTTTTTCTTATAACACATCTAAAACTGAATATGCAGTTATCTGACTCAAATGGAAATGATTCCGTTCATTTTAAAGTAGTTGTGTCAGAGATGTGAAAGAACAGAGGAACAAGAATTCTTAGGGTTTCTCAAAGTCCTGCTTGCCCTTCCAAAGTGATGGGTAGGCTTTTACATTAGATTGCTGTTATCAAAACTGTTTCAAGCACTATAAAGGCAAAACCAGCAAATAAACTTGTAACTATCTACATGCAGGTGTGTAAAAAGCCAAATATATCATTAGATTTTCCTGTTTCTGAATAGAGAACTCTCCATCTGCCAGTGTGGGCTTGCCTGAGAAGCCAGGATGAGTTGTACATGCCCTGTGCGTCATCTCAGAACCTGTGTGGAGTTTTCTTCCCTTCCTCCTTCTTAAAGACAAAGCTAAAAGACTTCCTCCAAAAAGACAAGTGTTTCCTTTAGATTCGTAATGAAAACATTCTGGGTAGATTGCCATTTGAAAACAATTGCAGTGATGTTTGGAGTAACATATGAGTATGTCTCAGTTTATCCAGTGCCTGGCTTAAGCTGACCAGCAAGACTTTTTAAGCATCTTGGTATCTCTGAAGCTTTCTCTTCAGCTGAGAGAAGAGTGTTGAACTGCAGGGCTCAAAGTGGCGAGTAGGAGGAGTTAGTAACATGGCCAGGATTTCAGGAAAGGAAGAAAATTGTTGCATACGTTTTTCTTTCCTTTTTATCCTACCAGGTATTTGGAAACAATTACACTTTTCAAGATCTGAGAAATTTTTAATGTTCAGGATACGAGAAGGGCCTTTTCAGGTTTTTGGTATGATGATATGTTTTTGGGCCTTGTAGGGTGAATTTTGGGTGGGTGAACTGTGGGTGAATTTTGGTCTCCTGTAACAAATATAGGTTGAAGGATCCTTCAAAACAGGGGTTCCAGGTGTATCAGTGGTATCTCAGTGGTTCCAGGTATCTCAGTGGTTCTCAGAACAGGTTAAATCTTTTGTTGGCTGGAAACATCAAGGATCTCTCAACTGGTGGGAAAGCAAAAGAGGAAAATTTTTGTTACCCATCAAAACACAGAATATGATGTGAGTGTGTTGTACAGGTAAAATGATCAGCAAAACTGGGCTTTGGGCTTTTCAGGGAGAAACGGCTACTGAAATAATGGGAGTGAATACAAGAGAGAAATTCTGGCAGGCAAAATAGAGAGCATTTAGAGACGTGAAAAGTGGAAGATGGAGCCAGGGAGGGGAGGGGTTGCAAAGACCGAGGAGGAAATGGAGAAGCATTTCCCTAAAATGTGCAATGACAAATCAAACATTTTACTCAATTTGTTTTGACAATATTTCTGAAGAGCATACAAGTACTTTTATTCTCTTCTGTCCTTCCCAATAGTCACTTATTTGCTACTCAGCCTTTCTTAGCCTTCTCATTCAGTTTGGAATGATTTTAGCTGATAGTAAAATAGTAAGTGTTCTGCGTTGTCTTACTGAATTTTTTGAAGCTCGGTTATAAAGGTGGTGTTATGTCTGGAGGGGCTGAAAAGCATCAGGACATGGTGGGATCTTGGGGTTGGTTGTCAGAGTTGTTTTTTTCTCCTGCGTACTTTTCAGAAGCGTGTGCGTATGCTCTTGCCATGCATCAGTAGATACAGTCTCTATTCAGGGGCTGTAAGGTTGGATGGACCTTGTGCAAATACGTTCAAAAGAAATGTAGGAATATTCTAAAATACTGTTTCTTACAGCTTTGAATTCTGTATGTCAAGAAGGTTCTCTTTTGTACGCTTGTGGTCATAACTGCCTTTTCTCACAGTCCACTCCCAAGTCTGTTAAGGGCAGCACCAAGAAGGAGGGATCAAAAAGGAAGATCAACATGAGTGGGTACATCTTATTTAGCAGCGAGATGAGAGCTGTGATTAAAGCTCAGCACCCAGACTACTCCTTTGGAGAGCTCAGCAGGCTTGTAGGAACTGAATGGAGAAACTTGGAAGCAACAAAGAAAGCTGAATATGAAGGTAAATAAAAACTAAGATGCTAAACTCTTTTCTGCTTTTTTTTTCCTTTCTCAACGCGTTCATTACTGTAACTCAGGTGACAGGTTTAATAAAAGAAGGTATTTATGTTTGTGTTCTGGATGTACCTTAAAGAGAAGCTCATATTGAGAGATGAGTGAAGAGGAGCAAAGAGCATATTTAAGTTAGGTAGTGCGTAACTGATAATTTAAATGTCTTTGCCACAAATGAACAAAGACCAAGAAAATGGGGACAACTTAGAAGTAAAGGGGCATGAAGCCCCTGGGCTGGAAGTCAGGTGAAAAAATGGTTTGTGAAAGTTTCCTTAAAGGAGGACTGAGGGGAGTTTTGGACAAAAAGCTCTTCAGAGCTGTAGCGGCAGGTAAGAAGGCTTATAGTGAAGTGGGAAGACGTTCTTTGATTAACAGTACTTAGAGTTCTAAAAAGCTTTGGTAGAATATAATAAAGGATATAGATTTTGTTGGGGTACTGTAAACATTGTTCATTCTCAGCATTAATCAACTATTGTAACTGATTTTGTTGAGAGATTTCATATCCTGAAGTAGGTCTAGGAGTGTTTCATAGGCATGAGATACTTTAGACCTTTCTTTCTCTCTTTCTCTCTTTCTTTCTTCCTTTCCTACTGATACTGATCATTGTGTTTCAACTTTATCTGATTAAAATTAAAATGTAATTGATCCTTAACAGCAGGCTCTTACCCAAGCCAAATACATTGGCTTTACATCCGTAGTTACTACTCTAGTTAATAAGATGTCAACACTTCCATTATAAAACCCATTCATTTTAAGCAACTGTTGCAATTTTATTGAAAGAAAATGCAATTTTGGAGAAGACAGTTTCAACACCCTAGAAAGTCATTGTTCAATTAAGTTATAACTTTGCTTTGTTAAAAATAACTTTTGATAGGTTTTCTGCATACTCATAGCCTAAAGGCAGCTTTGATCTTCAACCTAGAAGTTTGCATGCTATTACTTTCCACCCTCAGCTGTCTGTCCTTTCCAAATTTCCAGTAGTACCTCTTTCCAGTTCTGAGGAGTAATATAGCACCCCTCGGCTGCGTGCAAGTTTTCTTTGCAAACGCTATGAAGGGAAATGGTAATGCACTTTCTTTGTGAAAGTACTGCGGCCTTACTTTTTCCTGGTTTAGTTTGCTTTTACACCCTTCTAGGTGTGCGTGGTACCTTTTTATTGACAGGTCCCTCCTTGCAGCCTAGTTCTGAAGCAGTAGGGTGGCTAAGGTGTCATCGCTTCCAAGCTTAGTGCAGCTTGATGTCCTGCACTTCTGCAGGAAGGCATAGCTGTAACGTACTGGTAGCAACAGTGTCCGTCCACTGGGTTAATTATTGCCTAAGTGCTTCCATTTTAATCCTCTTTCTCTCTTAAAATTTTCCAAAGCCTTTGTGTTTTGGGCTGCAGTTTCTGTGTCTTGGTGTCTGCCCAGAACTGGACCTACTTTTATTTATTTTTGAAGGGTTGGGATGGGATTGCAAAGTGTCCAAACTGTGTTTGCTTACCATGTGTGAAGGGAGAGAAACTCCTCCCTTCCCACTGTGACAAGTCAAAATTCATGTGCTCTCTGGGGTGGATGCGCCCCAGGGAGCAGGGAACAGGCATGCTTCAAGTGTCAAAGTGCCTTTCCGTGTTCTGGTGAAAAGCAGTTTGCATTTTAAATCTGTTTTGGATCACTGAAAATTTCATTTGGTGTATGTGCAGGGTAATAATTGGGGTTTTTTTAGCAATAGTTGGGCAAAGAACAGGCTGCATTGGAAATGCCCGCATGGCTAACTGCACTGTAAAAACTCCTCAAAAGAAAAGAAAATAAATAACACGAGATTGAGGCAAAGGCCTCTTTTAAGGAAAATCTCTGTTCAAAGCAGAAGGGCTCTTTCCTCTGTCTTGAGATGTGTTGGAAATGTTGTTTGAATGATTTCAAGTCCTGGCCTAAACAAGTTGGGTTTGGTGTTGAGTATTAAGGCGAATGCTCGAGGCTGAACTATTTGGTACCTGCTACGGTTCCCTTTGGCACTGTTTCATCTATTAGTTCCGTGGCAGTCATGGCATGGATAGAGATGAGGTAAAACTCAAGTACTCTCCTTTGTCAGATTCTTTTTCAAAGGTCAGCACTTCGACATCTGATAAAAATTAACACATAAAATAATTTCTCTTTCATCAGCGTCTCCAGAACTTTTGCTTTTGTCTGATCTTATGGGTTTTTTAGCTGGCCAAAAGTAGGTGTGAGTCAGAACAGCAGCTTCATCTTTTCCCCAAATGCTTGCTCTGCTCTGAAGAGGATTCTCTCGTTTTTCCACTTCAGGATCTAACTTTAAATGTCTTGTGTATTTTGTGCTCAATCCCGTATGAGCTGCCTGTAGAAAACTTAAGAGTTTCTGTGCGTTGTCATCTCTTCCTGGAAGGACAGAAGTGAAAAGAAAGGAAGGAAATGCCTTTGGAAATTAAACTGGTCTTTCAGTGTATGGACATAGTGCTAGAAGTGCAACAAACAGATCCGGCAGGAGACGAATGATAGATGTTTGAAGTCATATACTAGAGAAGATGAGTAACGTTGACAGGGTGCATAACTTAATCTCCTTGATGAACTGCTTCTTCACCTTGGTTTGATAGGGAACCTTGATTGCACTTTTCATCTTTGACTGCTGCAAGAGTACTTCTAGCCCTGCGTTCACTGTTGTTAAAATTTGCTGGAGTTGTATGCTGCATTCATTTATTCTTTGTTGTTCCTCGTTGCGTCAGTCAGATCCAACGTTCAGAGTAAACAAATCAGCAACGTGCATGCCCCCAAAGCACCTGGAGTGGGCATTTGGTATATCTCCTTTTTCTGTTTGTTTGGGGTTGTTTTGGTTTTTGATTTTTTGTTATTTTTTTTCTTTCTTCTTCCCATGACCCTTTGCCTTTCCCTTAATATAAATTTGTCCTCTGGTCAGACTCCCCTGCAGTAGATCTTTTGTTCTTGCAGTCACAGTGAGAAACTTGATTGAGATAATGACCAGATTCATCGTACAAAGGACACACATGACCTCCAGTGAGCAGCACAATGTGAGTTAGACATCTTCAGCAAAAAAAAAAAAAAAAAAGGAAATAATAGCTCAAAGGGGACCAAAATGGGGAAAACGACAGAAGGAGGCAGAAAATATTTTTCATTCATCAAACTGCTGCTTGTTATGTTCCGAACACTAAGGACCTACCTACACTAGGGAAACTTTGCAAATGCTTCCCAACTTTGCCACCATTTTTCGGCTCCATCAGTAGTGAAATAAACGGGGAGCCCAAGAATGAATGGGCCGCCAGCTGGCACTGCTGTCTGCTCCTTGCATCTTACTCCAGGGCACCTCTGATGGACACGGTGCTTAGCCATGCCCGCAGCAGCGGGTAGCAGGTCTACCCAGAGCTGCCAGCCCTGGCTGTAACTGGTTTAGCTGAGCCAGTGGTGTCAAAAGAGGGAACATTTTGCCATGTTTTCCTAGTGCGGACTGAGCCTAGTGTTGGACTGCTGCTTCATGTTGGTAACACTGGTGTTATTATCAAATTTGTTCCTTGACTTTTTAAATTTTTATTTTATTATTTATTTTATTTTTTCTTTATTTTTTTAAGAAAAATATAAAACTTTGTGGAATATTTTTCATGAAAGGTTCTCTAAAAGTCTTAGCTGCAGCCACATGAAATCAAATCATATGCCGTATAAAACGATTCATCTGTTCTACTTTATATGACTAAACTATGCCAGTGTTTGACTAGTCCTTTTTAATGAACAGATAATATTTTGAAATTCTGGGTTACAAAACAGAACTGAAAATCTAAAATACTTTTACAGAGCGGGCAGCTAAAGTTGCTGAGCAGCAGGAGAGAGAGCGAGCAGCACAGCAGCAGAATTCCTCCCCCCGGGCAGGCACTCCTGTCGGGGCTCTTATGGGGGTGGTGCCGCCACCAACACCAATGGGAATGCTCAATCAGCAGTTGACACCTGTTGCAGGTAAAACGTAGGAGCTATGACCATTTTTTCCTCATCCACTATATCAACCCCCTTCATAACTCTGAACACTCTCTTGGGTCACTTTGTTCTTACAGAAGAAAAAGCTCAACCTCTTCAGTCTTTCTCATGATGAGTAGACGTTAACTGCAGCAGTAACTTGCTCCAGTAGCGAGTAACCTGTTTGAAAATGCAGGGAGTGAGGGTTCTCCTGGTGCGGTGGTCCTGTTCTGTCTGTGCAGTCGTGTTTACTCACTCTACTTTGCAGACTTCGTGTTTAGCCTTGCTGTGGCAGGAGGGGAGTGAGCTAAATACTCTGCTAGTGCATGCAGCATCCGTGGAAGTGGTGAAGTAGGAGGCAGATTTCTTTTTTTTTTTTAATTATTGTCAGGAAGGTGAGAGGCAAACAGACAATCCGAACCACAGTTTAAATTCAAGCAGAAGCTTTACAGAATTGCTGATTGGCACTGGTAAGCAGAGCAGACTAGGATCTAGAGCCATTGCAGAAACAAATATGAAATGCCAACATTGCCGGCCTCATCGGGTGATTTTCAGAATAGAACTGAGCTTGGAGAACTCTTCCACGAGGTCCCTGTTGCTGGGTGTTGTGCTTATTTACCAGTTGTAATCTGACCTGAGTTTGTCAGGAGTGTGCTCAGAGTATGTATTTTCAGGATCAGATCTGAAGAGTGTAGTCCACTGGAGATTCTTGTATGGGAATCAGCCATACATCAGTGAGAATATGTATTAGGTAGGACCTAATAAGTTGTTTTCCTTCCCCATTTCTAATTAAAATCATTAAATTACTTCAGCCAAGGTCAAAAGAGGGCTGAGTAGGCAGAAATGAGTATTTGGAGGGTTTTGGGTTTTTTTTCTGGGTTGGTTTTTTGGTGGTGTTTTTTTTTTTTTCTTTTACTTAAGGCATTCCAATTATTCCATTTAGTTTTTGTCATTTTTCTTTTCTGCCTTACAGGCTGTGGCAATGTGTAGAGCTGACAGCCTGAAGCGGTTTTCATCACAGTCTCTAAATCCCTTTTCACTCAATAGGCTGCATGGATATTTAAACTGAAGGCACATTCCTTATTTAGCTCATGGTCTCCAGATTACAGGGCATTTGTGTACACTCAGTTGCCTTTTTTTTTTTCCCCACTTGGTTGTTGATAATTTTCCTCTGAACTGTTTGCAGTCAGTGTGTGTTTTGTGTGCATACATGTATCTGTGCATATGTTAAGAAAGGGAGTTCTCCAGTGCTGATCTTTTTTGTGAGTAACCTGCTTCAATCTAGAATATGTAGAAACATCATCCTCTTGTGGTTGTGTTGCTTGATTTGGTTCTTGGTTTTTTGGCATGGAGTCACTTTTCCAGTTTTTTGGAGGTGGGTGTTGATGGGCCTTCCTGCTAACACGTTCTGAAAACTTCTCCACAAATGTGCATTCTGCAAACCACAGGTGCTGACTTACTTCCTGGCAGCCTCCTCAAAAGCAAAGCAGTGTTTAAGGCCATCATCTTATTCAAACGGTTAGACATTCAAGTCTCTTCACTTTGGCAGTGTGAAATACTTCCTTAAAGTGGATGATCAAGTGGATCTTTTTAAACTCTTCCTATTTTTGTGGCCCTTTTGAAAAAAAGAGTCTTTCATCTTTTAGTTTCCACAAGTCTTACTTAGAAGTATCTTATTCCTTTGAGACCTCTTTCACATCCTCCTCCATCATTTGATTGCTTTTCTTGAGTTCAGAGAACTTCTTTATGGCCCATGGGTCCAAGAAATCTGGATGCCTTCTGAGATGCATTTCTCTTAGTGCGCAGTGCTCTAGTTTCTTGTAAATTTAGGCATTACAAAAGTTTACATATGTAACCTTACATTATTGTAGTGAGAAAGGGGAGAATAAGTAATCTGAAAGACATAAATCACAGCTGTGGGAGCTGGAAATAGATTGCCCATGTTTACTAGTTTAAAATCCAAGTGGTAACTCATACGTGGCTGCTCTGATTTCTTACGGAGACTTGACGACAGGGTTATTAATCCAGCCAGTTGTTGAGTGACTATTTTATTTGGAAATGTAGAAATGAGCTTTCATGATGGATAAATACGGGTTTGTTTCATTGGAGGTTTTTGTTTTATTTTGATTTGTTTGTCCTAAAGTGTCAGAAGTGTGTGTAAATGCGTTGGAGATGTGATTGTGGCTTGGGTGCACTGGAAGGATGAGGTGGGAGCTACAGTGAAAGCCCTTTATCCTAAGGATGTTTTGTTGTCTTTCTTTAGTTTTTCTATTACAAATACAGATCTCACTATGTTAATAAAGAGGTACAGGTGAGCTCCAGTTATTTGAAATAGGTACCTGAGACCCATTTAATGTGTCAATTTAGGTATCCTGTGGAAAATGAAGGCTTGAGGGAGATCAGTTCTTTATTTTCTTCTTGTTTGCCCCACATAAAGCTTTTGCAATGCCAGGTTTCTCGCCATTGTAACTGTTCCTGAGGAAGTGGAAAATTCAGCTAGTATTTTAGATCTGCTTGATCTGTTTCGGTCCTGAGCTCAGCTTTGTTTTCAGTCAGAGCTGGTGTGAGGTTTTGGCTGGTCTTACTCTAGAAATCCCTGTTCTGAAAGTTTATTTTATGAGTTACTAGGGAGTGTGGCAAAGACTCAGTAGGTGGTTTCTTGGAACAGACTATAGAAGCCCCAGAAACTATGCATTTCTAAACTTACCATCTCTACAGACTTGCTTCTGTCCTTTGTCATCTTTTCATTGTCTTTCCAACACCTTTCCTTGGTTACCTGGCAACGCATGCATTTGAATTAAAAAGCCTAGGCAGGAGCAGGTTATGTTCCAGGACATAACAAACACAGTGCAGTTATATTGGGTAAGCTCACCTGGTGAGTAGCAACAAACCTGATCCAAAACCAGAAAAACCTCTATGTTTTCTTCCCTCACATGCAGTAAAACTGAAGTTACGAGCAGCAACGCATTGTCGTATCATTGGTTTTCCTGTAAAGACACCTTGAAAACGTTGTCAGTCCAACTCGGGGGGGACTGCAGGGGCTCTTTCAAAGTCCTTTTACTTGGGTCTAGCGCTAAGCCACTGCAGCCCAGCACATCCAGTGCTGTCAGGTTTAAAATTGGCGTTTCTTCCCTAGTTTATACTGGAGTTGGTTTAATAAAAACCGTCCCTGTCGCTACTGTTAAAGTATGCAAATGTTGTAGGGCTTTTGTGTGTTAATTTTGCCTATCCTCTGCAGAAAAATATATAGGGTTTTATTTTGTTCCAGTTGAGTTTGGACTCCGAGGTAGCCCACAAAGCAGGGCTGTGTGGAGCTTGTGTAGTTAGTGTTGTGTTGGTAATCTGTATGCAGATGGCAAAGCTTTGAGCTGTATTAAAATTGCTTGCGTTAGTAACATTTAATTGTGGCTGAATTTATTCCTTGTGTTAACGTATGTGAATATTCAGCATTTATTGCCCCATGAGAAACGTACAAATACACTAAACACTAATTCATCGAAAGTACAGTGTTTCATATTTATGTCTTTTTTATTTTTAATTTTAATTCATTTTTGCAAGATACTAATTGTAGTATCGTCTTGCTGTACTAAAGGTGCTTTTTTCTTTTTTTTTTTTTTTTGTTTTGTGGATAGTGCATGTCTTACTGTGTAGATCATATTGCATGTTATTGATGCATGTTTGAAATTTGTTGTGTCCTTCAAGGCATGATAAGTGGCTATCCACCGGTGCTGCCACCTTTGCAGGGCCCAGTTGATGGCATTGTTAGCATGGGCAGCATGCAGCCACTTCACCCAGGGGTGCCCCCACCCCACCAACTTCCGCCAGGTATGCCAGGCATCCCAGGCATCCCACCACCGGGTAAGAATGTCATCCTCATTCGCTCCTTATTTCATTTTCGTGTGTTTAACCGGTTGTGACCGAAGTTACCGGCAGCTTGTGTTGGTCATAGCTTTTGTTTCTGGTCATTGCAGGTTTGTTTAACTGCAGCACACACAATGTACTGCTGAATATATGAGCTGTATGGAAAACACTGACAGAACAGCAAGCCCAGTAACCCAGCAGGGAAAAGTTACTGGAGAAATGTGATGCTGCTCCAGCAGCAGTTTTGCTCCAGCCAAAAAACTGACAATTGTGCTCGAGTTATCAGAGGTCTGAAAAGCTGAAATCAGCCTAATTGTATCCTTACGTCATTGGTCATTTCAACAGCATCTTCCTGCTCCTCCTTTTCTTATTTAAAGTGGGCTTATAAATGAAATTTATTGTACTCCATCCTTACCAAACTCTTCTTCAGTATGTTAATGTATAGACTGCACTTAAATGAGTCTGGTCATGTAAGACCCCTTGGCCACTGCGGCACTGAGAGGTGCTATTGTAAAACAGTGTTCAGATTAAACCTTGATAGAACAGTAACTGGAAACATTTGGGGATAAGGTGAGCTCCGTATACTATTTTGAATTGATTTTTGAGAGTGTACCTAATACATATTTTCTGAGGTTTTTGCCACTGATGAGAAGTGAGGCTGGATGAAACAAACATTTTTTGCAGTGTTAATGCCATTAACGTGTGCCCATTATGGGAAAATATGTTCATCTGCCCTCTGGATCCTGCTTTGTGCTGATTCTTTCAGTTTTTACCTCTGATAACTCATGTGCCTACTTAAAAGATGCGCATCCCATATGTTCAGCAGTTAAACAAGCTGTGGACAAAAGTGGTCTTGTTTGCCTCCCCTACCCACTTGCAGCTGTGTTTATCAGCTCTATTAAGACTTTATCTGTATGTACATTGTTTGGGGGTTTTTTGTTTGTTTGCTTGTTTTCTTTTTAAAAAACATCCATCAGCATTAGGTGTGCAGCTTGCAGCTTTGCTGGTGTGTCAGACTCACCATGGTATCACGTAGAGGGAGTAGAACAGCAGTGTGCCTGTGAGCCTGTCTCTGACTCACCATGGCAGTGACGTACAAATGTTTGGGAGGTGAATCCAGGACAATGCATGTCTTTTTAAAGAGTTTTTCCTACTGGTGAAGTGGACTGTGTGTATGGTGTTTAAAACTGAGAAGATAGGGATTTAGGGAAAAAGTAATGCCTGGGAATGGAGGACCACACCTGAAGTGGTGCAAAATCGGGCTGGGTGAGCTAAGGGTGAAGCCATGTGCTGATGCTGGAGAGGTGAGGGTGCCCTCCTCCAGACCTCTTCATTTTGTACCAAAAAAAATCCGTGCCATATTCCACAACTTGTATTACCAGTGTTTTCCCAACTCCTGACTTGCTGTTAGTACAGGTGCCTTGAAAATGGGCGCTGCCATCAAATGGAAAATGCATTTGAAATATGCTTTAGTCTGCGAAATGCAGAGGCACATCTCATGATCACCGATACAGAAATCTGCATGCAGCTTAAACCCTCAGGGAGAGAAGTTAGTTTGCAGCTTTTCTGACGAATGAATATGAGAAGTGACATAAACAGAAAGAAAAGCAGCAGCAGGCATAACTTTCATTTTTTCAGACCAAGGCATCTGTATGTAAAATATAAGAACCGCATGATTCTCACTTAGATTTGTAAATTTTTGTATGGAAGACTGACACAGGTGTTACGTGCTGCACTCTGCAATAGGGAAAAGCCTCAGTATGTCTGAGAAAAGCTAACAGGTTTTGGGGTTTTCTGAAATTTATTTCAAATGTTCATCAGTCTTGTATATGAGACTGTTGAAGCTGAACCTGCAAGTTGTGTTTTATGTTAGTGAGATCTGACAGAATTTGTGCAATGGCTTGGGTTTCCTCCTGCTGTGAAATGTATTTTATAAAAATGAACGCGAGGAAATGCTCAATATGGCTAAAGCAAATCAGCATTTCCTGTCTTAAAGGATTCCAGGAAGATCCTGTCAAGAAAAAAGTGTATATTATAAAACTAAAAGATTTAGTCAGGCAATCACTAATTAACATGAAAATACCTGAAAACCAAAAATTATCCACTTTGCATTTCTTTAATTAAAGTAATTCAACAGGCCACATATCAATGTTTGGTAGTTGTCATGCTGGCTTTTCTGTTATTCAGAAACTTCTGAAGTGTTGTTTTTGTTAGTGGGGGTAAGGGGAATATTTGAGTGTTGTACATCTGCTTAAAATAACTGTGAGCAATGATATCAGAGTATCAGTTTTTACTATAGAAGACCGAAGAGGTATTTGTCACTGCTCTGAAATAAGACTAATTATTTTATATTCTGGAATATAGGTGTTATAGGCCAAAATGTGTCCCCCATGGTAGGCACTCCAGCACCCGGAGCAAGTCCTTTTGGGCAGCAGGTGAGTCATTGTTGTATTGTTAATGAGGCTCTAAGGCTTTGAATAACATTTAAACAACATCTTAGGGATGCACATAGCCTTTCCCAGGAAGAACATAAACCAAATAGGTGTTTAGAACCAGTTCCTGTCTTATACACATTCTGAGCACGTGTGTTTCTTGGTTGAATTATTAGACTAATTTGGTTCTGTCCAGTGGGAAAACTTCTGCGGTACAAGAAAGTGCTCTGTTTTGTTTTGTTTTCCTTCCACTAAACTGAGTCATTTCAACACCCTGTTAAACTGCGGCTAGTTTAGATTTTGCACACCTTTTTTTTTTGGTGGTGCCGAGAGGATGCTGTCCCCTTTCTCAGCCGGCGATGGGTGTTTGCTCCCATATTTGACGAGCTGACAAAGCAGATGTTCATTGGCAGTTCAGAATTTGTGATTTTGGATAACAGCGATGATCAGGTGTTCCTTCTCGGTGATTAATACAGATGAAGTGTTCAGCACATTTCCAATTTTGTTGAGTAAATTTTTGCATCATAAAGAGAAATGTGATTTTTGGCTAGAGGGTGTAAAGAAAACCAGAAGTTGAGTGAGAAAGTAGTAAAACGTGTGTGTCATGACACTGAGTTATTCCAGACCACAGGGTAGTTCTCAGTACTGCCACTTAATCACTGTTGGGAATTCTTCTGCTTGGCTGAGATTTATTTGTGTACCTGCGATTTTTGCCTGACAGCGATGAGCATTTATTCTGTGGAAGTACCCCAGTCGTTCAAGGATCTGGGTCAATTTGGATTAGGTGTTTTAGAGATAAACCCTGCATTTCACTGACCCCATGGTTTATGACCAAATTAGAGAAAACATGCAATAAAAAGGGGGCGAAAGGATTTATTAAGGCTAATAGGAAGGAGGAAAAATGGTGATAGTAATCAGAATACGTTTACATAGATTAGAAATATGAACAATCGTTGTCTGTTAAATATGAATGTGGTTTGTTTGTCCTTTTTCCTTTTGTGCATCTTCATGATCCCAACAGATAGCCCTGGCTGAAGCGAGTGTCTTCCAGGGAGATTTCCTTACGCCCTTGCTCATAACTTGTTTTGAAACTCCATTGTATGCGAATGACCTCATGTACAGATGTGAAGCAGCTTCCCTGCAGTTCCCCCAGATGTGATCTCTCCATCACTTTGTCATTGCAGATAGGAATCCTTGGCCCGCCGGGACAGCAGGCTCCCCCTCCGTATCCGGGCCAGAGCCCAGCAAGTCAGCCAGTTATGCAGCAGCCCACAACTCCCATGTTCGTCTCCCCTCCACCAAAGACACAGAGGCTTCTTCATTCTGAAGCCTATCTGAAATACATCGAGGGGCTCAGTGCTGAATCAAATAGTATTAGCAAGTGGGACCAGACCCTTGCAGGTAAGGCTTTTGATACAGAGTGGGATGTTTCCAGATGGAATGCACTGCTCTGTAACCATTAATATTTTTTGCTTTTATAAAAAATGCTAGATCTTACTTAAAAAGATGTACAAACGAATCAACAGATTGGGAATACACGTAATCAGTAGGCTAATTCCATCGATGTAAAAATCTAAGAATCAGTTGTATGGGCTTAAATACTAGGGGTAAAAGTTACACTGCAGAGTTACATTCCCCTTTCCCTAGAAAAATTGTGAATGTCAAAGCCAGTAGATAATTGGACCATTTCTTGACCTTCCAGCACGAAGACGAGATGTCCACTTATCAAAGGAACAGGAGAGCCGACTCCCTTCGCACTGGTTGAAAAGTAAAGGGGCTCATACCACAATGGCCGATGCGTTATGGCGTCTGCGAGACTTGATGCTACGAGACACCCTTAATATCCGTCAGGCATACAACATAGAAAATGTTTAGTTGCATAACTGCTTCTTTCTTTGATACTGGCATATAAGGAGTTTTGTGGAACAATAGCTGTTTTAGTTACTGGGTGGGGAGAGATAACCAACAATAATTTGTATTGCATTTTACTGTACATTGCAAGACCATTTTTATATAAGGACACTTTTAATAAGCATATTTCACTTTTTGTTATATTAAGTTGACTTTATCAAATACACGGATTTTTGCATATGTTTCCTTTGTTTGAAAGGCGATTTCATAATGGGTTAAGTGTAGTCAAGGATTCATCTTTCTTATACTTTATTGCTGAGAATCTGATGCCATTGTTTTTATATAAAAGAAGAAAAAAGAAAACAAAGTATTTACAGATTGGTACAATGGAATGTGAAATTAGTCATAGTTTACATCTTAGAAGAATGTGTGTACATGTGGTTGTGTGTGCTAGCCACTTCCAGCAGAAATCTCACTTGGATGTGATCCTCCTTCTAAGGGAGGATCTCTTAGAAGAAGCTGAAGGTAAGATGTGCACTGAAGCTAAGGGAAAAAAATGACATTTCAAGTCAATATGGAGGCAGCTGAGTGGGCCACAGCAATCATGGAAGTGCTAGTGTGGACGGGACAAGGCTGTCTTGACCACTAATGTTGTCCATTCCTGTCCAGTTAATTAATTGTGTAGCCAAGGCCATTGTGATCCTATATCAGTAACAGAATACACGTGCTGACGTGTCCTTAGAAGGGGAAACGTTTCATCTGCCACGACCTGCTTTGGGGGTTCTGTGATGTCCCTAAACACCCAGCAGTGGGAAGGGAAGCTTCCTCCCTAAGCAATTCCATCTGTACACGGGAGAGGCATGCAGAACTGAGAACCAGCTCAGGTCTTGGAAGGTAAGTTAGAAGAGAAAGGAAGTCGAGTTGGTTTGTTAGGGAAGTAACATGATGTTTTTAAATTCACACATATTCTGTTAGTGATTAGGCATTGTAAGACATTTTTGTACACTTTAAGCGTATCAATTCACCTTAATGAAAGTTTTGCAATGCAAAATCTGCAAAATTTGACACTTAAAGTAAAATACTACTGCGTGGTATGTGTAAGTTCAGCATACCTAGAACATTAGAGAAAGAAATAAGAGTACTTGCAGCCTTCAGAGGATTTGGGGGGGTGTTTCTTTTTCTTTTTCTTTTTTTTTCTTTTTTTTTAGCTATATCAGGTAGGTATAGACTCTTCCTGCCAAACTTCAAGGTCGTGACTGCCTTTTGCTAAAAACTTCCATGTCCTCACAACTAACGAACCTTTTGGATGGCAAAGCTATTTGTTTAAAGGTAAATCCTTTCATGTATTTAATTCTAGAAAAAGAATTCATACTTGTAGGTTGCATTAAGTAACTGGGAAAGCAATATTAATTTGAAGAAAATGTTGGCAGGAACGTGGTCACTGCGGCTCAGTCCAAAAGAACTGATTTACTGGTACACTTTCATCTGACTGCTAGAGATGTTCATCGTGTGGAAATGTTTTCTGAAGTCTAAAAGTACAGAACATTTTTATTTGAGTACATTTGGCAGAAGGTTAAATACTTTTCAAATACTGGACATCTGGGTTCTGTTTTGCCGGTGTAATTAACACTGAGGGAAGTGTCATGCAAGTATAAACTGTTACTTAATTTTACTGGCTAATTCCTCTTCCTCTCCTATGGCAATCCTCCAGTTATTGTATGAAAAACCCATGTAATTACAAATAGGCACTTAAGGACAGTTTAGGCCAGATGTGCAATGGATGGGAAGAAAGTTGAGCTAAGCATTTTAGGGAAATTACAGTTTAGAACTCCACGCCTGTGATACAGAAATTCATTACTGCCCTTTGTAAACGATCGAGTTTATTAAATAAAGTAGGAACTGAATAGTCTTAGACCACCCCCATCTACACAGTATCGTCTTAAAACGTGTTAAATTACTGTAGGCTTTGCAATTTTTAGCCATGAAGTCAGGACGTTGAAGCGAATCAGGCAGGAAATCATCGTTTTTGAGCATTTGGAATTATCATGGATTGTACTAACACACCGCCAGATTCTCCTACTTCTCAGCATTAACAAAAATTACACCAAAGAACCTGAGATGGATTTTAGTTAAGTTATTGTTTTATTTATTTTCTTTTGAGGACTGGATGGGACTCCCTTTGGAGCCTGTATAACTCAGACGTTTAATTTATCTGAAGGTCAGTGATGAGCAGACTTGCAGCACTGGCTCTCTCCTGCCCGAGCAGCTGAAGCCCGACTTTCACTGCTCTTTCTGGCCCAGGAGCAAGACATTGGAAGTGCAAACGCAACCTGGGTCCTCCCGCAAGGCAGTGCAGAGCACTACCGCTAAGCCACTGGGCTGGCCCTAATCAATTATTTTAAGCTTTGTTTATTTATTGCAAAATCACATCTCCATATATTGGAGGCATTTCAGTTGATTGCAGTCAAATTTAGGATATGATGGCTACAGTCTAGAATTCAAAACCAGCAAAAGGAACTGTTTTCTGACTCTGGTTTAAAAAACAAAAGAAGACATGTCTGTCTTTTCTCTTTCTCTCTCCTTGTGGGTGTTTGAACCCCTCATTTGTTTTCCACTGCCGTTCGTTGTACTGGCGTAAGCAAAACTTTCATATTAAAATAAAAGTACGTATGGGAAATGGTTGGCTTCTGTGAGAGTGGAAACTAGATTAATCTAGGACCGGTATTTTCGTAAACAGTTGGAGACGACTAATAATTATTTGTTCTCTCCCGCAGTCCTTCCGTTCCATGAGAAAATGTACTGTTTGTGTAAAAATTCAAAACGTCGATGTTGGTGACTTTTTTTTTTTTTTCCCCAGCGTATGTTTTCGGACCTGGTTAATCCATGCTGGGCTTTTCATTAGACCTTGTACACCTGAAGGTTAAGCTGCTAACCAGGTTTATAACATGTATGTACCATCACTTTGTTTACCTGAGTCTTTTTAATTTGAATAAAAATAGTTTGCAAAGTGTTTTGGATTAACCAGGTTTGAGTGTCCCATCAAGAATTTTGTGAGGATTTGATTTGAAGTAATTCTGGCTGTGGCTGATCCAGATTTTGTCAAGTCCTTGGTACGTACGTGCTTGTCTGTGGGTAAAGAATCCTTTTTGTATTGCAGGACATGCCTGGTAGGTGATAAGAACAGCCATGCTGAAAGATGTGGTTGAAAATTGAGCCATAAGGAGCATGAACAGTGAACTTGAAAAATCTGTGGCACATTGGGAGCAAGCTGAGTGGAGATGATAAGATTCAGTCAGGACCAGTTGCCCCCACATTAATTGCTTTAAAAATAAACAGCAAGTCTTAATTTCTTACTGGAAGTTAACCTGGTTTAGGACTCTTATGTAGCTGTATAATAAAGGAAAGTAGAGCAGCAATATGGAAAAAAAGCATCCTTTACACAATAAAGTTAAAAAACAGAATAGAAATTGGCTTTAATACCACAAGCAGCAAGAAGAATGTAGTGACAGCAGCCTCTCAAGTCTCAAGGTGCCTCTGACATACAATTCCAAACCCAACCACAACCGATAGCATTACGTTTAATTAACGTGCACCCAAGACATGGACCTGAGGGATAACCGCTGCCCCTGGCACAGCTGCCAGCTTTACAGAGCTTCCACCTTTCCGCAGTCTGATGGGGCTGTTGCACAGAGGAGACAATTCTCTTCATCCTCCGCAGCTTGTTTGCTCACTTTGGGTACTGAAGATCATCCATAGCTGTACGCAGCCCCCTCTCGACTGCAAATGCACTAAATTGGAGCGATGCTTCAAAATGTCTAGGTACTTCGAACATCAAGTAAGAAACGGGATCTGATTTCCGTGGAATGCAGGGGTAGCTGCTGCAGTGCAGGGATCTGGTGATCCTGAACAAAGGGATTCCCAGTATCTGTCAGGCATTGCAGGCACAAGATATCTATGGTTGGTCCTTCCTATGCCAAGTGGGATCAAAAATCCAGTGCAGAGATCTGGCCATGCAGATTATCATCTGTTAAAGGAGGCAGCAGGAGAGACATGGAAAGAAACGGAGGAGAACCCATGTAATTAGCAGCACCCGTAACCGCTGTGGCTCGGGTCACCATAGGCCATGCACGACAAAAACCTCGGGCAAAAACAGTGAAGGATGTGCAGCTTTTCCTTCGTGAAGTCTGTGCAACTCTCACTTTGGCAGTGCCCAAATTCAGCTTTCGTTGCATGATTTTTGGGAGGACTGTAATTAATCCTCATGTTTTGTGCCAAGCACCAACATCCAGGGACAACTTAAGGAAATTCCTCAGGACCGGTCATCCCACCAGTGCCTGTTGCAGGTTTTTGCACCTTTCTTGGAAGCACGGGGGCACACATGTAGTTTTGTAGCTGTGTGTGAAGTCCAAAATGAGCACTTCCCTCCACTGATGACAGTGTGAAGTTTTGCTCCAGGGGAGAATTCACCAGTTCGTAGCAGATGACTATTTCCTTTTTCTACTCCTGAAAAGCTGGAACAAAACTCTTGCGCCCTGTGCCAGGGAGGAGTAGACTGGCACATAGGTGCTTCCTTTCCCAGAAGTACTTTTCAGTACTCCCCTGGCTTGCCAGGTCTTCCAGTGGGCAGCATCTTCGGGTGCAGCACCGCAGGGCAATGATTGACGAGCACGTCCGTTCTTTGCACAAAATCATTCTGAACTGGCAGTGGAATTGTCCCCTCTGATGCCGGAGCGGTGAGCAGCGTTGCTCCTACGTAAGAATCGCTGGTTGGTAGCAGGTGACTCTTTATTGGTGCTGCTTTACGGAGCTGAAATTTTCCGTGCTTGATAGCTGTGTTGGCCTGACTCCTACCACTTGGAAAGCTTTCAGCAGAAATGCTTTGCCAAGTCTCAGAACCTCCTGCAGTGGCCGCTGCAAAGTGAACACGAAACCCCTGTTCGTGGATGCCGAGCTGCATTCTGGGCTGACACCAGATGAACTCCCCGAAGAAGGAACGGACGTGCTCAACCCCAGAACTGGCAGGGGCTCAGCAGTGCTTAAAATGAAAGCTGTGTTCCTGGCCCGCTCCTGCACGGCATAGCAGCAGCAGCAGTGTGTTCCCAGTGCTGGGCACCGGGGCCTTGCAGCTGCTCTGATCTCCAGCGTGAGCGAGGGACTGGTGAAATAAAAGAATGACACACGAGGCTCTTCTAAGATACTGAAAAACTTGACTTGTCCTATGGAAACCGAGCACTGGCAGGAGAGGGTTGCAAACGGCTCCAGAAGTGTAAAGGCAGATGGAGCTGAAGCTCAACAGTTTTCAAAATCTGCTTTTTATTAGTGCCTTAAACATACTGCTGGAGTCAGGATTTACTTCA